ATTTATTTATTTTGCAGGTTCGGTCCTCCAAAGCAACTTTAATTCCTTTCAAGACACATTATCATCATCATCATGCCTTCTCAAGTGAACGCAGTGAATCTGAAGACTGATGTGATTCAGATACTGTGATGCCTTCACAAAAATGACAATCAATCATTCCCACATCAGTGTGATCTCACACACACACACACACACACACACACACACACAAGTCACAGATGACACTGAGCGAGTGTATCATCACTTCTACACCGTCTGACAGATGTTATCTGAGGTCTGTTCCTACAGTAAAGTGTGTGTTTACCGTGATCGAGTGTGAGGTGTGGACGCAATCCTCTCGTCTGATTGGCTGATCAGAACATGAGCTTTGGCATTTAATGTGAAACACCGACTGGTTAATTATTGAGTCGTCGGGTTAAAGCTGGTTTTGCAAGATCACTGATAATAATCCTTTGAATGAAAGTTCACACTCACTGCCCCTTTTCATGCATTAATCTCTTTTATTGCCAATATATCGACAGCTTGTAACCAAATCTTTCCCGACTTCATGAAAGCGGTCTGACACACACACACACACACACACACACACACACACACACACACACTCGAGCTCGAACGCTGTAAACGTTAAAATATGGGTGCAGTTATTACTCGCTTTTCTGTTTATTATAGATATTTAAATATATTTAGAATTTACCCCCATAAAATATCTTTCTATTGCTTTAAAAAAAAGTTTTCCTGTTTTAAGCATAAACCTCAAGACTTGTGTTTAGAAAAACAAGATTTCGGAAATGATTTCAACAATCAATATAAAACACTTCAGATTTCAATCCAACAAACTTTGGGAAGGCTTTAAAAAGAGTTTCTGAAGCAGCTGCAAACTAACTAACTATAACTAACTCACTAACTAAAGCCCTCACGCATCAGCTTAATGCAGTTAGTTTGATCAGATCACTGACACACACAAAGACACGTTTGTTTTCATATTCAGTTCATTCCCATAACAGGAGACGCATGAGAGCACATGAACGACAGAGAGACACGAGACTGAAGACCCACATACATCAACAGATAATATAATAACACACACATCCAGTGTCTAAGAACAACTCTGAGCCTCTGATTAATAATAACTGGCAATTATTAAACTATGTAGAATAACAAAAGCACCAGTTTCATCGTTCCATCAGCTGACTCGGGTGATCAGGTCACCGCTGGGGTCAGATAAGAAACACGTGGAAAAACAAATGCTTTTGCAAATAATTATCATATACTAACATAATTATGAGAAGAAAAGTCCAAATAGATCACACATACCAAGTTGAAATTATGACAAAAAGTAGAAACTATGACAGTCAATTATGAGAAGTCAAAATTATGAGAAAAAGTTTAAATTACGACACTGTCATTTATGAAATGAAAAGTCAAAAGTTATGAAATAGTCATAAAGATCACAGTCATAATTATTAGATGAAGTCAAAATGACAAAAAGTTGAAATTATGACCTGAAAAATGATCACAAACTAAGTAATATAAATGTCGAAATCATGACGAAAAGTCAAAATTATGACTATCAATTATATTACTCATGAAGAGAAGTCATATTCATATTCATTACATAAAGTCAAAACGATGACATTCTACTTTGAAATTGACAAGTCAATTATCATGAAATAAAAAGTACATAAAATTGATATAGAAAGTCATAATTTCAACATTTTATCTTTTATAATTTCAACTGTTTGTCTCCGAATTATGACTTAGTATGCAATAACTTTGCCTTTTTATCTTAACGACTAAATGTCATAAATAAGATGTTGCAGAAACAGGCTTCATAAAGTCTGATGAGTTCAGATCTGAGGATCTCTTGCACTTTAACAAACTTCACAGAAAGTTCAAAACATTTTAGAAGCAGAAGACTAAAGCATGAAAGTGTGCATCTGCATGTGAGAGAGTGAGTGTGTGTTCATGCTGAAACACAGCCTGTGTGGTTGCATCATCTAACTATAGAGAACACAGTCCATCCTGTGTGTGTAATCCTCTCTATACACACACTAACTCGATGTCTGTGTGTAAGTCTACTGAAGTCACTGACAATTCACAAATACAATGTTTATAATGATGTCCATCATCATCATCATCATCATCATCATGCCACGTCTAACAGTCCCGCACGCTCGAGCGCTTCAATAACACACTGTTTTAAAGGGCTGCATGTACAATCTGCCTCGCGACATGACGTTTCTAATGCATGTTCGCTTATGCATGTTGAATATCATCTGCTATATTGATGCAAACAGAGCGATCATAACGGCCGATTAACCACATCACGCGCCATGACCAGCAGCTCCTCGCGTTCTCGCGCTATAATGCGCGCGCGCGTGTGTGTGTGTGTGTTAAACTCACCCTGATCAGTTGTCTTAAAGTCAGTGTTAACATAGTAAAGCGACTCAACTTCTCCGGTTCCAGCAGGTTTTGCGTTCGCACGCTTTTCGTCCGTCGCCTAAATGACAGCGGCTTACTGACGATCCGCGCGAGTGCTCATGGGAAATGTAGTCCTGACTTGCGCAGAGGGGCGTTTTGCTGTGGTGGACTACAAGTCGACGTCAAAACGACAGCTAACTGTATTTCAGCACAGTTCTAACACACATGTATTTTATATTGCGAACAGCTGAAATACGACATCATGTCCATGAACTGCTTTTATTAATTCTACTTCACCAAGCTGAGAGTTTTCCATGTAGTCTCTCAATTAATGTGGCTTCATGAAACCTGGATATGTAATTAAATACACAATATTTGCAGCTGAAACTGACTGAAATTGTAATGCAATGTAATATGTGTATTATTTAGTGCTGTCAAAACTGTCAGTGATTCATTGCGATTATTGCTTCTAACAAAATTTTTTTTTGTTTTGTTTTTTGAAAGTGGTGGGGACGGGGACATCAATGTATAAATATATTATAAGTTTTGAGCGAAATTATCGGTAGGGATATATCGGTGTCACCGGATATTAGTAAGGACACGTCCCTACACTCTAAAAAAAAAATGCTGTATGGGTTGTTTTAACACAAATTTGGGTCAAATATGGACAAACCCAAATGTTGGGTTAAAAATATAATTAAAAAAATGTAGTTGAAAGTGAAAGTTGAAGCTGGTTTAAAATTTTTAACCCAACATTTGGGTTTGTTCTGTTATATCCAAATTTGGGTTAAAACAACCCGGCATTGTTTAAAGCATCCCTATATTATAATGTGATTAATCAATTTGACAGCACTGAATCTTATATATTTACTTACTGTCTCCCAAATAATTAACACTCAGCAACAATAAAGCTCTTTTTGTTGTTCCTAGAGTTCAAGTGTCCCACGATGACCCCGAGAATACAAAGTTATATGTATTTGCACTTATTATAGTAAAATGACCTTACAAACAAAGTATCAGGACACACAGCACGAGGTTCTTCTTCGTCTTGTCAGTCTTGAATCTTTGCATCATAATGGATCACTTCATTCAGTGTTTGTGAATAACGGCCGGCCAGTCAGACGGATTGGATTTCATTATTTATTTGTGATACATTATTTACACACATGTATACTATACACATGATCAAGCAATACTTTATTCACAGAACTGCAGGAGCTCGAGTTCCTCTTCTCGTTCACAGATGAATCGGTTGTCCAAAAATAAAGAGCCACGGCTCCGCTTTTGGTGCGTTACTTCAAAAACATGACGGGGAAAGTAAAGGGATGAAAAACAATATCATTCTATTTGTGTCAGCATCTTGCATTTTGTCTTTGCGTCTCTTCAAGCTTTATTCAGAGTAAATAGATATGCTATGTCTTTAATTTCATAATACATAAAGGTAATTCATATTGGGGTGAATAACATTCTGTTAAATACATTCATTTGGATTTATTTATCATCTTCTTACACGTAGAGAGTGTTTTTGCTCAATGTTTTGAACATTAAACCTGGTTTTGCAGTGTTACTCTTTGTCTGGTTCACCCAGAAGCTTTGGAGTCTCAGTAGGTGATCTGATCATGAAGCTAAAACTTCATCTGAAAGGTTTTGCTACTGTCATTTAACATCAAAATGTTGTAATTTATACCTCAAATTCATTCCGGACAACATCAGGACGGCCTCTTGAAGTCGACGTGAAACTCATGTTCCTGTGAACGATTCATCATTCTAAAGAAAATAAAAGTTTGTCTTCATGATCTTTCATCACCGTCCATCTTCTTGACTGACATCAGGAATCAATATTTCTCAAGACTCTATATTTTCATCATCATCATCCAATCAGTTCTTCAGTTGCATTTGTAAAACCCTGATCGAACTGCATATCGCAACAGGCTTGTCATTTGAAACCAATGAAAAATAGCTGGTTTTTGACTTCTTCACTGCAAAAAATGAGGTTGTTCCTCAGTACTTTTGTCTTGTTTTCCAGGACAAACATTTAAACAAAGAAAAAAAAAATAGTTTGCATCAGCCATTACGGGGACAAGCACAAAAAACGCAGGATAAGTCATTAGTAATAAGATGATTTAATGGTTTATCTCTTTTGACCAATAGGTGGCGCTGTGACCAAATTGGTGTGTTGTGGTCAGAGTGAGGGGCCAATGACACATGCGTAGTTTGGTGTCAATATGCAAAAGCATTGCAGAGATACAGCTTTAGAGTCATTCTGGCATCATTGATGCGGTCTATGAAAACGGTTTCATTGATCGACACGAAATCCGTAATCTTTTGCCGGCATGGTTTGAGGATGATACGATTCAATTTTCGAGTTCGAGAAAGTATAAGATTTTAAAGACTCAGATTCACTGCAATCAGCCAAAGGGTTCAGAAGTTTTGAACAAAAAGAGCCATTTTTTCATTTTCTCCTGACCACTAGGTGGCACTGCGCCAAAAACTTGCAGGTGTCCTCAAGTCATGGTTGTCATAACACACACCAATTTTAGTCAGAATGGGCTAAAGCATTGCGGAGATTTATCCTCAGGTTCATTTTGGTGTGCTCTTCGTCAAATTTGTTTGCGTGTTATTCGAGAACCGTTTGGAGGCGTTTGACAAAGTGTAAGGGTTTTTTAGGGTTCATAAAAAAATCCTATGGGTTAATGGATAAAATGCCGTCACAGGATGGAATTGAATTGTCTTGAGCTAAGATATCAGAGAAACATTTTGTTTTGTTTCTTTAGCCCTTAAGGTTCAACAGTTATTAGCATAAACATAAGTGAAACATTGGACACTTGGTGGCGCTAGATGGATTGAGTTACAGACTCCAAAATTGCTGTGGTTCATATTTAGACTTCTCTCGATCTATATGCCAAATTTCATAACTAAAGCGGTTCTATGGGCTTCCATAGACTCAAGAGTGGAAGAAGAATGATAATAATAGGAACTCGAACGGATCCAAACCGTCGGTGATTGACCCGTAAATATCCAATTATTATTCAATAAGAACTAATATCTGTCAGTGGGGTCAGAAAATACACTCGTTCAACCTTATCCAATTTTCTGACCCCACTGCAAGATACTTGTTCTTGTTTAAAGCACAAACTCTGTTCAATACACAAGTATTAATATCTGAAATCATTTTGCTTCACCGGTATTTAAAGTCCCCCTGTAGTCAATAATTTGATCCCATAAACTCGTCTTTGATGAACAAAATTACATATTTAAAAGTTTTTTCCGTCTCATAAACAACATTAAACGCTGGATTTTCACCACAGGGAGACTTTGAGAATCTTTATATGTTTGAGCTGAAAAACAAGACAAAGGTACTGAGGAAGAACTCCTTCTGGAATACAGGATCGGTAGAAAAACAAGACGTTCCCTGTTCGTCTAACAGTCGACAGACAAAAACGGACGAAAGCAATAAACCAGTTTTAAAGAGATAGTTCACCCAAACATGAAAATAACCCCATGATTTACTCACCCACGCTCAAGTCATCTTATGATGCACTTTTATGATTGACAGATGCACTTTTATGATGGACAGATGCACTTTTATGATGGACAGATGCACTTTTATGATGGATAGATGCACTTTTATGATGGATAGATGCACTTTTATGATGAATAGATGCACTTTTATGATGGACAGATGCACTTTTATGATGATAGATGTACTTTTATGATGGACAGATGCACTTTTATGATGGATAGATGCACTTTTATGATGATAGATGCACTTTTATGATGGACAGATGCACTTTTATGATGGATAGATGCACTTTTATGATGAATAGATGCACTTTTATGATGGACAGATGCACTTTTATGATGATAGATGTACTTTTATGATGGACAGATGCACTTTTATGATGGATAGATGCACTTTTATGATGATAGATGTACTTTTATGATGGATAGATGCACTTTTATGATGGATAGATGCACTTTTATGATGGATAGATGCACTTTTATGATGGATAGATGCACTTTTAAGGACTTCAAAACAGAAACGGCCACTGACTCTCATTATAAAGTTTGGACGATCCAAGAATTTTTTAATTTAACACTGATTGTGTTTGTCTGAAAATGTAATGTCACATACACCTAGGATGACTTGAGGGCGAGTAAATCATGGGCTAATTTTCCTTTTTTGGGTGAACTATCCCTTTAAGAACTGAACGGATAAGGGTTGTTCTTTCTATATACAAAGAAAACTTAGAAGGAAAAAAATCAGCGGAAAGCACGTCCGCTTCATCCGAGGTACGGATGTTCGCTCTGAAAGTTGTAGTCCGGACAGACCTTCTGCACCAGCTTGTAATCGATGCTGAAGAAGGAGATGAAGATGCAGATGACCTTGAAGGGTTTGGCGCAGAGCCAGGACGAGTACGACTGCGTGTTCTCGGTGAAGCAGGTTTGCGACGGGTCGTACAGGCAGGGTTTGGGCTTCTTGGAGCGATCAGTTTTTTCGTACTCGACTCGGCAATTGAAGGTTTTGATGTCTTTGGGGTCAATCGTGGATTGTTGCGGCGGGTGGAACTGGATCTCAGGATGAATCGGGCTTTGCTGTTGGAGAACCTCGAACTCGACCACTTTAGATGGAGGGACGATGCTGACCGACACGTTCCCGAGACTCGAGGAGTTGTGGCGAAAGTAGACGGTGAACGTCCCGTTGACGTGATCCACGATTTTCCCGGTCACCAGAAGGCTGAACTTGAGCGTCTTGACGTTGAAGTAGAAGTCGCCCCAGCCGAAGATCTTTTTAGTTTTCATGGAGGTTTTGAGGGAAGGCTTGCGTTTGGGTCGGTAGCCTGTTTGCTCCATGAGTTGGGACTGGTTGCGGGCCCATTCGTACGGGTTCTGGAAGCTGAACGTGGGCGGTTTGGGTTTGACGGGCGCGTGGTCCATCGTGGAGAATATCCTGGACGTTTGGTACGGGGGTTTGACGACCCCTGACCCCGGCGGGAGGCTCTTGAAGACTGTGCCGGACGGGCCCTGCTCCAGGTAATCCAGAGATTTGCCCATCTGTTTCTCCAAGCCGTGCGCCTGAGGACACACACACACACACACACACGTTTACTAGATGGGTCTTTCCATAGACATAATGGTTTTTATACTGTTCAAACTGCATATTCTGTCCTTTTACACTAACCCGACCCCTAAACCTACCCATTATAGGCATATATATATATATATATATATATATATGAAGAGTTCAGATGCAAAAGCCTCTAAATGCCATTTGAAATTTTCATCTTTAATGGTGATTTTTGTCAAACTTGTATATTTAAGTTCAGTAATTTCACTTAAATAACAATTAATAGGTAATTATCATTGGCATTTAAGTGAAATTACTGAACTTAAATATACAAGCTTGATAAAAATGATCATTTTAGAAGATTTCAAATGGCACTTAGAGGCTTTTGCATCTGAACTCTTCATATATATATATATATATATATATATATATATATATATATATATATATATAAAATAATTAAAAATCCAAGTGTTTGGTTGTGAGATGCGTGCAGTCCTGATTGATTCTGTATTATTGCTTTGCACACGTAGAGTGAGGGAATGATTATCAGTGACTCAATTAAACCTCATTTGAGTTCAATCAGAACCGCATCGATGGCACGAGGATCTAGAACCCAGAACGTTCCATCACTGATCGTCCGTCTCGCTGCAAGCGCTCGCCGTTCTCCGGGACAGATCTATTTTTACAGTTCGTTTAATGATAATGTCACTGCTCTATTTACACAGTGAAGCGAGCGGCTCTCGTCGAGAGATGAAGACGTGTGTGTTCTGGTGTCACTTCTGTTCACTTCCTGCTCTTTAATCCAGCGAGTGTGTGAATATTAATCAAGACAGGAACTGAAGACGCTTCTCGTTCTTAAAGTAACTCATGTTATTCTGTTCTTATTTATCCACTCAGACTCACACACACTAACCCGACCCCTAAACCTACCCATCACACACACACACACCCTCATGTCTTCATTACAGGTCATCATCTTATTCCCATCTGGATGATCTCTGGACACACACACACCTGCGCTCATCAGTCTCTCCGCTGAACACAATCTCATGTGTAACATTCATCAGTGCGTCTGCTAATGTATTTAATCAGTAAATTAATTTAGCAGCGCGTGTTTCTGTGATGGAAGCGATTGATGGAAGCGGACTCAGTGAGGGACATCGATCGCCGCCGCGCAGATTAAAGAGCCGGTGACGGAAGCGCATCGAGCGGATCATGAGCCGTTCAACGGTCCTCGCCAGTGAAGCCCGATGATGAACACGGCAAACTGCAGCTCACGGCTTAATCTGCTATTCTACCGTAAAACGGAAAAACTAGCGGTGTGGTTTATTATAGATTTTTATATATCTTAAATCTTATTTCACAGTAACAGAATATTTCACAATACTAAGTATTTTGAACCCAAAAATGTTCTATATTTTAGTAATTATATATTTTTTGGGCTAATCAAGTAAATTAAACACAAACAAATAAACGTTACTTCATTTAATGTGATATTTATAAAAATGTAAAAAATTATAAAAAAATTATAAATAAATGCGAACCATGAATTACACTACCGTTCAACAGGTTTTTTGTTGATTAAGGATGCATTAAATTGATCAAAAGTGACATTAAATGCATTTATAATGTTACAAAAGATTCCATTTAAATAAACGCTGTTCTTTTTCTATTCATCAAAGATCCTGAGAAATAAAATATTTCACATTTTAAACAAAAATATGAAAGTGTTTTCAACACTGATAATAATCATAAATCCTCATATTAGAGTGATTTCTGGAGGGTCATGTGACACTGAAGGGGAGTAATGATGCTGAAAATCACAGGAATAAATTACACTTTACTGTATATTCACATAGAGAACAGATGATTTACATTAGAATAATATTTCACTATTTTTACTGTATTTTTGATCAAATAAACACAGCAAAAATATTTCACAATATTTATTCTGTTTTTTTTTTATCTAATAATGAGCAGAAGAGACTCCAAACCCCACTCATTGAATCATTGACAGTAAGTGAGAATCTGCATTCACACTGTACACCCTCACCCTCTGTGACCCTTGACCTCCGCTCACGTCACCCTCATGCATCAGGAGCATCGAGCGACACAAACGCTGGATCAATGATGATTTCACAACACAGATCATTGATCCGACTGCGTCACAGAAAGGCCAGATTAAATATGAGCTTTAAAACACGACACACATCACAGTGTCTCCGTTCACAACTCTGCTTTAAAGTCACTGTGAAATCAAAGTTGACAGTTCTTATTTTTAATATAATATATTCTAAACGATTTATCGGTGCACATCATCATTATTGTGTTAATTATGTAGAATCAGAATCAGTTCCTGTAACCTGTCACTCACATGAGATCAGCCAATAGCAAACCACAACCATCCAATCAATTCCCACTCAGACTAAATCAAGCCCCGCCCACATATGTTCTTGTTCCAGAAGTGTTTCACTCGATATACGACACAATAGAGAAGAAAATACTGAACAACTTAACAGTCACTTTAGCTAATGCCTTAAGCCAGTGTTTCCCAACCCTGTTCCTGGCGGCACACCAACACTGCGCGTATTCTTTGTCTCCCTAATCATCAAACACACCTGAGTCAACTCATCAGCTCATTAACCCATCTGATGCATTGTTGGTGTGCCGCCAGGAACAGGGTTGGGAAACACTGCCTTAAACAATGGGCTATTTTTTTATTTTATTAGTTCTGCACCAGAATAGAGGAGTACGACGAGGATTATTAGCGCTCGACTGTCACACAGAAACATTCCCAAACACACTGTTTTACAGGAGCCGCACCTAACAATCTCTTCATATTAGCTCACAACGACCATCAAACTGACACTGTAAAAAATAACCGTGATTTTAACGGTAAAATACTGTAAAAATGCTACAGTGCAAAACTGTTAATTGGTAAACAGAAGGTTTCCGTACTATACACGGTAAATAACTGTGATATAATTTTACAGTAAAATACCGTTAAATTTACAGTTTTTGAAAGTGAAAAAGAACAAATCGTTGTATAATTTACAGTGAAAAACCGTAAATTAACATTCCCACAATTCCCTGTGTGACACTTCACATTTGATGTATTTTTGTTGAAATAACTATGGTTCCTCATAGTTTTATTGTTTTTTTTTTCTAATCAGTTATGTACATTAGGGTTGTATGTTATTTAATGTAGTTAAATTAATGTTTATTGCATTTTTTTAATTTCATGTGTGTTACCATGATGGTGTTTAATGTTTGTGTGAATGACATTGTGCAACTTCTTTAATTCAGTATTGCTTTATACAAGTATTCACTTGTGATGAGCTGTGATTGCTCATGTAAGTCTCATCACTGCTGTGATGATTGTTGGTTGTCAGTGTATTGCAATGGTCTAAAACAGATATCAATACATCAATAAGTTGGTAAATCCACATATTATCAGAAAATAAGATTACGGTTTATTACTGTAAATTTTAAGTTAAGTCTGTAAAACCATTAATGTTCCTACCGTATTTTTAACGGTAAAGTTCTGGCAACCACAGCTGCCGTTTTTTTACCGTAAAATTTACGGTTTATTTTTTACCTTGCACACTGAGTCCAGAAACCTGCCGTCAGGAACACACGCGCTACATATTGTAATGCATTAAATTAACTGATACAACATTAGCAGTAACATTAAATGGCATTAAGAAATGCTGTAGAAGTATTATTAGTTCATGTGACTAATGTTAATATTGTAAAGTCTTACTGAAATGTTCTTTATGCAAAATAAAGCAAGACCTGTTTTAGCCTGCCACTTATTAAAAATTAAACACAACAATATCCTCCTGATTTCTATTATACACACACACACACACACACACACACACACACACACACACACACACATATATATATATAAAGAGTTCAGATGCAAAAGCCTCTAAATGCCATTTGAAATTTTCTTCTAAAATGACCATTTTTATCAAGCTTGTATATTTAAGTTCAGTAATTTCACTTAAATGACAATTAATAGGTAATTATCATTGCCATTTAAGTGAAATTACTGAACTTATATATACAAGCTTGATAAAAATGATCATTTTAGAAGAAAATTTCAAATGGCACTTAGAGGCTTTTGCATCTGAACTCTTCATATATATACTTTAAGGATTTAGCAAACAACATAGCTCGGCCTCACACAATATCCTCCTGATTTCTAATGCACAAAATCAATATTATTTCAATTCTGTTCACTTTTGTACTGCTTTAAATGTACTCTGATTTAATCAATAAAAATAACTTCTCACAGAAATGAGAACCATCACTGACAAAAAAGTAAAAAAATCAGATGTAGAGTCTTTTGGGAGACATTATTCACAATAAAATCTTAATCATGCAAAAATACTTGTAGTATTATAATTATTATCAGTAACACTTTATTTTAAGGTCACATAGTTACACATTCCTACATTACTGTAATAATAACAGTGAATTATTCATAATTACCGTAACATGCAAGTACAGTAGTAGTTACTCATTTACCTTATAATTTCATTTCGATGTTGGGAAGAAATGTGACCATTTGTGAGATTGACCCACATGTGTATGATATTAAAACAGCTGAGATGTCACACACACACACACACACACAGTGGAAGAAGTGTGAGGCGTTTCAGGGACAGATCACACAGAGTTCATCACACACCAGACGAGCTGAAGGAAGTTGTTAGCAGCGTTTCAATTCGAGTGATACATTTACAAGTCTGTAGACGACGATTACAACAGCTGGCACCAACATAAAGCAGATAACACACTCGCGCGCTCACGCGCCGAGGAGAAATAATAACCCGAGATGGAGTAATCCAGCCAGACGAACTGTGTATACATATGTATGTCTCAGGGAATTTAATATAAAGAAAATGTGATTACGGCGGCTTGAGATCGCGCGCGGTGGAGGAAATGGCTTTATTGCTGCAGCGAGACGAGAACGAGAGGCTGCTTTACAGTT